GGAGTACAACTGACGTGTTTTAAGTGTTTGGCTTGGATTATCCAGCAACGCTCTTTACCTATGTCATTTTCTGTATTTTCCCGGTAGTTTGCTTAAAGTTCACTGCAGGCCACTACATTACCCGTTCACAAAAAGTACTGGCTACGAAAAATGAACACAGCTGTGGATGAATATGTTACAGGGTGTAAAGCCAGAAGAAATTAGGGAAAATACAGGACATTTTTCAGATATTAAAAACGAATCATGCAGACGACAGTAAATGACGTGCTTTTTTGCTGAACATGAAGATTATTAGCGATCCAGCTGTCAAAAAACAACATGACGCTGTTGGGCCAACTGTCTAAATAATTACCAACGAGTTCAGCGTATTGTTTTTATGATTTTTTTTTGTTGTTTAAGTGCATAGGCCTATTCAACCTTCTTTTAACAATCTATTTCCCATTGGAAAACATTTACAATCGTGGGAAGCAATTTTTTTCTATTAAACTGCAGAAGAACAAATAGATTACAGCTACGCTAACGGGAAGCCCTGGCAGTCTACCATGCCAGCAGACTGTTGTGTGCTTGGGTGTTCATGCAGACAAAGCCAACATCTTTCTCTTGGTTTTTACCGCATTCCAGCAAATTCATTACGGCGACATTTATGACTTCAAAAACTGGAAGAGACGGATGGAACCCCAAATTTCGCAGTGCCAGAATCTGCGGTGCATACTTAATTTCGGAAATGTAAACTTTATGTATGTCGTACTGCCCTCCTTAAGATGTTTCTAATCAAAACGTGCCAGCCAGCCAAACTCCAATCACCGACGAAATGGGAGTCAGGAAATAGCTCTGCATTGACGAATCAGGTGGGTTATATGTCAACTCAGAAGAACACGCACGTGGCGTTGTCCTCTCTTTTCAACGTGTCAAACCACTGAACAGGAAGATAAACCGGTACACTCTTTCACTCTGGTTTCGGCGCCGACTTGAAATCAAGTCGTTAGTCGGTCGTGTTTGTCGTCCATATGAGCTAGCATGCTCCATCGTTTTAAAATTAGTGCTGAGCCTGTTATTCACCGTTGCCCGCGATCCATCAAAAGTGCCACGCTGATTCGGCCAAAAAGGTAGAGGACGCGTGGTCATGGGCTGTTCAATACCGGGTTGCGGCTCACCTCGGCCAGCGACTGTGCCCGCCTAATCGGAGAGATATTCATGTCGCAACAATGTGCTGCATATTCATATTTTCCACGGATAGCGCCGATAGATCACGCTACTCGACAGACTCATCCATTTTATCTATAGGGATGCACACTTATTTTATTAGTGCCAGTTTCTTTCACATCTTGCTTTAATTTTCTTTTTAAAACGATGCTCAAATTATGTACAAATATTCAACAAAAAATCTAATTTTGTTAAAAGAAACGGTGCTTTTGTGGTAAATCAACTTTTTTAGAATAATGTAAAAACCCTCTTCAATGAACGAGACTGTGGCTGTTCTGATAGACGTTCAACTGACCAATCGAATTTCCCCTGAAATAAATATTCATATAATCAGGATTCTTAGACAATGAGAGTGCTCCGTCCAATTTCGGTAGCAATCCCCATATGTTGTGCAGAAAAGGCTTGCAGATTGTTCAAGTCGGTAATTGGGCACCGCTGATCACGCATATTGGGGAAGGAGGTTGCAGTGACCGTTCCCACGTATCAGTGAACCACGCCGAACCGCAACGCGATTGCGAGGAAGATGGACTACCCCCGACCAATTACCGACTTTTGGGGGGTAAGTCGTGTTCAAATTAGCCATGAGGTGACATTGTAAGACACGTAGGAAATGTTAGTTGGTGTCACTGTTGTATAATTGATCAGTGTTAATAGTTTTTGGCGTGCACAAAAGCTTTTCAAAGGTAAATGAACGTGTTGTGTACACAAGCGGTAGACATATACAGTACGTGCGCCGTGTCTTTTGTACTGTACGAGGGCATGTTATTGTACATGTGTTAACAAAGGAAACAATACTTATAGCGTTTTCGAAACGAGTGGATTCGTTGAGACTTTTGTTTCGCTGGTTCCCGCAGTCAGAGCTTGAACATGTAGTTTCGAACGCTACTTCAAAATGGCTGGAACCAGCGAAACCGAAGTCTAAGCCGAATCCACTCGTTTTGAAAACGCTCTTCTTCATGCGCACAATACAACTTTACTTTGTGCTGCATAAGTGGACGCGCTGTGTTGACTGTTGGGCAGTATTTTGTATCAGTTGTCAGAGTATTCTTTTCATATTCATTCTGTAGTCCATAGCTGACTTACATGCCCCGACAGCGATTTGGAAAAAGACAATTAGCTAGAGTTACAACCAGGGTAAGATAGGCTTTTCTCTATTTTCGTCACGGCTGGTAGTGACACGAGCAGTGTATTGGGCTTGATATTTATTTAATCAAATTAATCTATGTACAAGTTAAAAAATTATTTTGAATGGAATGTATTGCGTTGACAGGGTTATTTTGATATTTTGGACTGGGCCATCCTTCTTCACCAAAGACTGAAAAAAATCAGCTGAGTGAGTGTTATCAAATGTCACTTCTCTTAATGAGTGTTGACTATCGGCGAAGGCATCAGCACACAAGCAATAAATAAACATGTGTATTGTGATATTATATTGCCCTTCTAGATTGGGTTTGTTTGTTGTTTATTTTTTGAACAAAAAGAGTTTCCTCTTGAAAATGACCTGTTTTTAAAAAAAAAGTAAGACTACCATTTTGCTGTCATCTTCCATATTTTATTTGTTAAAAACCGTGAATACCCATTTAATGTGCCATTTGATTAATTACAAATTCCAATTATAATGTTCAACAGCGCGGTTAAGCAGATTGATTGGACTCAAAAGAGTGAATTAATTTGCTTCAACCCATTATTCTTGTCTACTAACAACAATTACTTTAATTTACAGTTCAAGGTGAAAGTCAGCGTTTTCATAATAATGTAAATCAAGACATTCTTGTGAGTTGTTGAAAGCAGATGACTCTATGAAACAGTTTCCAGTACATCATTACAAGTAGCAAATGTTTTGAAGGCTGAATTGGTATTTTGTTTCACCTAAATTCCCAGGAAAAGAATATAGCCGTTTCAAAATCTGACCATCTCCTCTCAAGCTGGACTCCATGTCTGGCTCAGAAAAGTATGGTCTAACATTAGTTAATTGATAGACCCCAAAACCATTTCAAGGGCTGCTTTCCTGTGATATGTCATTTTCTACCTTCAGGATACACATGTATTAGACACTGAAAAGAAATGTCCTTTCATTTAACTGGAGGCTTTAAGACAATTTACTTCGGATTCGTTTCACCTGACTTCATTTATTTCTAATTGTTTTTTTTTTCATTTGGGAAATTGGCTTTTTTGGATTAAACGATTTAACCCTTCATTCTCCTTTAAGCTGTGATCCGTTAGAGGTGGTAAAGTGTCGGGTTAGTTTGGACACATTGATGGCTCCCTCTTTAAGGCTGAGGGACACAACAGTACGAATTGATACCGTCAACGCAGACAAGACTTCCTATGCAAGTGGTCAATGCGCACTCGTCAATGTCTGAAATAATTAAATGAAATGACAAATTATAAGTAATTTAAACGTACAAATTTGTCGATGTTTCTTGTTTGTTAATTAAGAGCCGTTTTTCATCTGTTTTAAGTTGTTTTTTTACAACTCTCAAAGAATGGTACCCGTGTTCACACGCAGACGGTCCTGCATGAGAGTAAGTTTTTGGAAACAGTGCAAGACGGAGGAGCCTAACGATAGTGCTCAGAGAAATGATTTGGCATCGGGTATACTTACTGATCTCACAGTCTTTTCCTTTGTAACCATCCACACAGTCACATCGGTAATCATTAACCAGATCGACGCAAACCCCTCCATTTAAGCAGGGCTTCACGGCACACTCATCGATGTCTGGAAAGAGATGTTAAAACATATACATGGAATCAGGTCAACAGTCAACTTGGTTTTTGACTCCTTGGACCAGTTTAACTCCGGTGCCCCCACAAAGTCTAAGCAACAATATATATACTGGGTATTAGCTATTTACTCCCTGCTCCAAAGCAAGGATTCATACTTGATTATCTTTGATGAGACTGATTGTATGGTATGCAATACATTAATCTGACTTTTAAAACCCAAATCCTTTTGGAACACTTCATTCAAAAATCAGCCTAAAAGTAATTTTAAATATTGTTATGTACAAAGCGTCTGGGCTTTATTTCAAAACCAAAAATATGTGGGAACCAATCGAAATAAGATAACTAATCACCGATTGGAAAAACAAAAGAAGACTGCGAAATTTCTAAACGTTCTACCAGTTTTGCACGCCTACGACTTCGATCTTTGGTAGGTCCTAAGGCCGTAACATTAAATATTCCTCGTTTGGAAAAAAGCCACCCTAGCCTTTCTCGTAGTTCAAAATAAAGGTTAGTGGAAACACTGCCTCGAAATGCGTTTACATGCAGGATTTGTTTTTTTAGAGAAAGGCTCAATCTTTCATTTGATTCCCGTAACACGTCGGAGACTTTAACATATTATGTTGCCAACACATTTGTTCATGGAAATATTATCACAGTTCCAATCAAAAAATTGCTAAAACAACATCTCGGTAGATACTTGCATTGGATTCTCAACTACCCCAAAAAAAGCTTTAGTTGCTTTCGTTCGGTGTTGTTTAGAGTAAAAAAAAAATAAAGCAAATATTGGTTGTTGTCAGCGAGCTGTACATAGTGGCTCTTTTATTTGGACAAAAAATTTGAGCAGCAATGTGTGACAGGTAATAATTTGTGTCTTCATTTGATGGCTTGTAGTTTATTTGCCGCCAGCACAATCAACAGGATTCATATATTTGGTTTTTCGTTTTACAAATATTTATAGCATAAACATTAGGAAATGCTGCTTACAGCGAAATCACCTTCTATAGAGATGTAAAGATAATGAAACGAGGAAATTCCCATAAGATATGAGAAAGAGGGATCTGTTTCAGCAGTTACTCATTGATTTCACAGCTCTTTCCTTTGAAGCCAACTACGCATTTGCATTTGTAGTCGTTAACCAGATCTGAGCAACTACCTCCATTTTGGCATGGCTGAGATGCACAGTCATCAATATCTGCATAAAACATGTTACTGGCATGAGTTTCAGATCTTAAACTTTACTATGGATTTCCCATACAAATTTGATGGTAGAAATATATGATAGGGATCTGCCAATCTACTACGTCATGATTTGCTCTTCTAAAATTCCAAAGTATTGATTCTGTATCAAAATGGGGCAAACAGAAAAGTATAAATTTTTGGAAAAGGAAAAAAGAAATTCAGATATACAATCTAAGAAAGACGTACGAAATTTTCAGGTGCTGTAGGGAATTAATAAACAAGAAAATTGTCGTTACTTACTGTTACCACAGTCTTTTCCGTCGAAGCCAACTACGCATTTGCATTTGTAGTCGTTAACCAGATCTGAGCAACTACCTCCATTTTGGCATGGCTGAGATG